AGCTGCGCGGCCCCCCCCATCGACGCCGGTGCATGACACTGCGGCGAGCGCGCGCGCGCGGGAGGCGCGCGCCCCCTTTCCCCCCCCCCGCCGGGCGCGAACGCTGCTCCGCCGAAAACCAGCCATCGCGCCCTCTTAGGCTCGAGCCGAACGCGCGAAATGGCGGGCGGGTGGGCGATAACTAACGGGGGCACAAGGAAAAGTAAACGACTGGACAGGTATTCCTCAATCCCCCCTCTCATGGCCCCCCCCCTTTCCCACCTCCTCGCGCTGCCCCGCCCCTCCTCTCCTCTTCCCCCCATCGCACCCCCCCCCCCCCCCCCCCCCCCGCCGCCCCCCCCCGCCGCCCCCCCCCCTTCCGCCCAGCTCCCAATTTCAGCCCCCGCCGCCCGCCCCCTCAGAGATCCAACACTGCAGAGAGCGCAACATCGCTGAAAAATCACGGCGCGGGGAAGCGCCAACTATACTTCTACTGTTCCGGGGGGGGGGATATCAAATAAATCAATGGCCTGGGGCACCGCGGGCGCAGCGGGGCCGAGAGGTCACGGGGGCGCCGCGCTATCTGAACCCGGCGGCCCCCCCATGCCCCTGCTCGCGACGAGACTCCGCCCCCCTCCTTCGCGGCCACCGCGCGCCCCCCCCCCCCTGATCATGATCAGCGCGATTGCCATCCATCCTGCCTGCGCCCCCCCCCCCGCCGATCTCCTCAGCCCCGCGCTCTGCTTCTCTGGGGGCCGCCGGGCCACCCCGAGGCATCCTGTCCGCAATGCCCCCATGGCCCACGGGTCGCACAACCATCGCAGAAGTGGTTGCCCAATCTCTCGGGCGCCTGCCTGGTAGACGGCGCGGCGGCAAAAGTGGACGCGGCCTTCAGGCTCGGCCGCGTGAACATTTTACCCCGGCCTGTCTCGCGGAAGCTGCGCGCCCGCGTGGACACGGTTTTGCGGGAAAGCCTTCGGGGAAACACCCCGACAACCGTCGCGCTGGAGGTTCGCGCGGTCGATTTGGAGCCTCTGCTGGAAGGCCGCCCAAAGTGCCCAGGGAACTGCGCAAGCACACCGTCGCACAGAGGGGCGCGCGTCGCGGCGCGATGAATTTTGGGGCGGCCACGGATAGGGGCCACTTCGGCAATTTGTCTGCGGTCCCCGTTATCTCATCCCTGGGCGCGAAGTGGTTCGCATTCATAGGGGACGCAAGTGCCTGGGAGTTTTTGGGAACCGTGCCGCATGTTCCGCGCGGGTCGTGCTGGATTCGCGCTTCCAGCGCGAAAATGGCGGCAGCGCAGAAGTTGTGGCCCGCGAGCGGAATGACTGCCACAACACATGGCGGACATGGAAGCGCGGCGAGGCTGGGGAAAAGGGCGCTTGGCGCCCGCGGATTCGTGTCCGCGTGACCACCGAGAGATGACGAGGGCCACGGCCAAGGGTTAGAGCGCCGAAGTGGTGCCTATCCGTGGCCGCCCCAAAATTCATCACGTCGCGACACGCGTTCCTCTGTGCGACGGTGTGCTTGCGCAGCTCCCTGGGCACTTCGGGCGGCCTTTCAGCAGAGGTTCCAGATCGACCGCGCGAACCTCCAGCGCGACGGTTGTCGGGGTGTTTCGCCGAAGGCTTTCCTGCAAAACCGTGCCCACGCGGGCGCTTAGCTTCCACAAAACGGGTTTGGACAAAATGTTCCCACGGCCGAGCCTGAAGGCCGCGTCCACTTTTGCCGCCGCGCTGGCGGCCAAGCCGTTTGCTTGGCAGGCGCCCGAGAGGGCTGACGACCAGTTCTGTGTTATGCGACCCTTGGGCCGCGGGCGTCCTGCAGACAAGAAGCCTATTGAGGCCCCAAGAGCCTCCTGAGAAGTAAAGCGGGAGACAACACAGGGCGGCAGCGAGGGAAATGCACGGTGGGAATCACCCTGATCAGGAGGCTGAGCGGGGTGACCGCGAGGGCAGGAGGGGAAATAAGGGCGCGAACAGGCGCAAGGGGAGGGGGGGAATACAAAGGGAAAAGGGTCGAAGAGTGAAGAAACTGAGTATGAACGAAAGAGAACCGCACAATAATGTAGAGACACTGGTTTTCTTGAATCGGTGCGACGGACGCAGCGTGGGGGTGTTTGCAAGACCTGAGCTAACACACACGGGAAGCACATCGGCGGTCAGCGAAGCGAGCCTGGGCCTCGCCACAACGGACCAGGCAACCAGGCTCATATCGCCGACATGCGGGAAACTGGTGTCTGTATACGTCGCTAAATGCGTTCTTCCAACGACGGGTACCCTGGACCCCATCTTCCTGCGGCATGTCTCGAGCCGGATCGATCTGTGACGGCCCCAGGGCCCGAAACCTGGCGAAGACGCCCGGCGTCAAATTTTTGCAGCGCCCGGATCTCAGCGCCCACACCGCCCCCCAAGCCTCCCGCGCAGCCTGCTCCAGCCTGCCCCAACCCTGGAGAGCCCACAAAGGACGTACGCGCCAGACCGCGTGCATGAACACGTCCCTCTCTCGCGCCTGACCCCCCCCCGCCTCCCCCGCACCACCATCCCAGCTCGGAAGCGCAAGCTGGGCCGCCTCGCTTGCTCCGCCGCCGCCTCCAGAGGGCACCGCGCCGAGCCGTTTGCGGAGCCCTCGGCAGCGCACCGTGCGGCGTGCTGTCGCGCAAGGGTCTGGGTGAGATCGCGGCGCGCCCGGCCAAAAGGTGACCGGCGCAGGGCGCGGGCCGGCCTCGTCCTGCCTCCCAAGACCTTCGACGACTCGATGTGTTCGACGACTCGATGTGTTCGGCCTCTTCCCCAAGGCCAGCTTCCTCATCCTCTCGAGTCGTGCTGCGACGGTCCGAAAGCGGCTTCCACAAAGGTCAAGCATGTAGGCACACGAAAAAGCAGCTGGCACTCACGCAATGAAGACAGATCCTGCCATGCACTCCCGAAGAGGTGCGCCTTGGGCTGCAACCCTCCAGCCACCGACCCCAAACTCAGCGAAGGGAAACTAGAAACTTCAGACTCGATATGCTCGTGTATCGGGAGGTCTGGGCCCCTGCAAATCCGATGCCTTGAACTGCTCAGCACGTGGCCCCAGGTCCGGCTCTTCATCCTGAGTCGCTTTGTGATCCCCCGCATGGGGAAACCAAAAAGCACTGATACCGCTACTTCCTTGACCTGTCCCTGGGTGCATCCTGACCAGAACTTCGAGGCGACTCCGGTCGTGGGTGGAGTCGAGGGCCTCCCAGGAGGCCCAGGTACCCTCAGTTCCGACGTTAAGGAAAATTGCAGCATTGCGAGAACTCACCACTGGAGCCCTGGACCCCATCTTCCTGCGGCATGTCTCGAGCCGGATCGATCTGTGACGGCCCCAGGGCCCGAAACCTGGCGAAGACGCCCGGCGTCAAATTTTTGCAGCGCCCGGATCTCAGCGCCCACACCGCCCCCCAAGCCTCCCGCGCAGGCTTCTCCAGCCTGCCCCAACCCTGGAGAGCCCACAAAGGACGTACGCGCCCGACGGCGTGCATGAACACGGCCCTCCCGACCGCGAGACCGGCCGCGTGACACGAACGTTCGCGCAAGGCGCAATCTCGAAACCAGCGTGGACTCATGCACGTGCACGTCCCTCTCTCGCGCCCGACCCCCCCCCGCCTCCCCCGCACCACCATCCCAGCTCGGAAGCGCAAGCTGGGCCGCCTCACTCGCTCCGCCGCCGCCGCCTGTTTCGAGCCGGCTCCATCTGTGATGGCCCCAGGGACCCGGTGCCCAAAAGTTGCAGCGCCCGGATCTCCGGATCTCAGGGTGAGCCATAAACGGTAGTGCCTTGACTCCTTGCCTGGGCGCTGGATGCTCGGGCGCCAGCAAGGCTCGGCCCGCGGCGAGCAGCCCGACAGGCGCGCCCGGCCCCGCGGGCTCAGCGGGTGACGAACGGGATGTCGGGCGCCCTGGTGGGGGCGGGAAGGGCAGGGCCAATCAGCATCAAATCGGGAAAACGGATCCGATCGAAGCGTGCATCGATCGAATCGGGCCGCACCGGAAGGGAGTCGGGGCCGAGTCGAATCCGACGCGCCAGCACGAAAAGCAGCGCCATGCAAACATCGGGCCACATCTGATCGAAGGGACATCAAAATCGAATCGGATCGGGCCGGCCGAAATCGGTATCGAATCGGATCAGTCGGATCAACATGGACCCTGAATGGGTGGTAGGGCTAGACTGTGGGCGTCGCATTCTTGTTCGCAACGGGCGAGTTTGCCTGGTGCACGCGCCAGAAAGCCCGAAGCGTGCATTGGCGTAACCCACCACTCTTACCAATCTCGGCCCTAGACGCATGCGGTGGACAGTTGCCTGTGAGGCCCGTTTGCGTGAGAGGGTTGACCTGGGGGATTCAGGCGACCTCTGGTCACTACCCAGAGGGCTACACTGATACTACACACCGGGTGATCCTTAATGTCGAAAGGAGGCTGTAGTCGACCAAATGCTTCATACAAATTATCGGACACGACAACATATTACTAAATGCCGACCTGTGCTGTTCTGCATGACTCCAAGGACCACGTCTCTTCTCCCTCCCTGTGGACTGCTGCTCAGGTCTTTGCTAGCAGATCGCACACATATTAGCCACCGTATGCAGGCTGGTGCAGGTAAGGAGTGCCGAGCCCATGGGCTTCGATGGGCACGCCACCTCCGTGGCAGTGCCTGTACTGTGTGCTGTTGCCCAGTGGGCCAACTGCGCCTTTGGGGCTGCTTTCCTCAGCTTCCTACTTATTCCCTTGTCTGGCCGAAAATGTCTATTCACTTGAAGCGCTGGTACCCCAGTGTGATTGGCTCCTGCCAGTGGGCAGGCTGGCAACGTTGCGCCATCGGTAGTGCTTTCCTCTCATGGGTCTGCTGCTACCGATGGTCTCTCTCTCTCTCTCTCTCTCTCTTCTCTCTCTCTCTCTCTCTCTCTCTTCTCTCTCTATATATAGTATTCACCCAGTGCTCTTCTCGCCTCGTCTTTCCATATGCGCATCGAACCTCCTGCACGCCGACCGACCGACCGACCGAGGCGGAGGAGGAGAAAAAGGGGAGGAGGGGTAGGGAGAAAGAAAAGGGAGGAGGAGAAGGAAAAGTGAGGAGAGGGGAACGGAACGGGACGGAACACTCGTTCGGGCGGGCGCCCAAGGAGGGTGAATGGAGAAAAGATGAGTGGTGTGGGCGGAAAAAGGACGGGCTTCATTGGACAGCGGCAGCGGTTCTGATGCGACACATCGTGGCGAGTGTGCCGCCGTGGTAAAACGAAAAGACGTCGGCAAACTTGTAAGCAATCTTCTGTCGATACGGCCATTACTGGGCCTGGGAGCCGAACCAGGACAGGAGGTCGAGACCTCGGGTTCCACGTGGTCGCCGAAGGTCTGGGATTCCTGGCCCGCCCATCCCTCCGAGAATTCTGTACCCTACCTGCCGGTCAAGGTCTGCAAGAAGGGCACAGGGCCTGAGGTTCATCACGTTCGCATAATTGTTGAGGGTGACGCGCTTCTGTGAGAAGCCCTCGACCATGTGCGGATGCTGCGGGCGAGACGGGGAATACAGCAATTCAGAACGGATCGGGCCTGGAGGACGGACCATGGTAAAACCCTTCCGAACAAAAGAGTCGGGAGGAGGATTGAGCACGGGGAAGACGCAGCAGCGTGGAGGATGGAGCACGATGGGGGCGAGATGGGGACGAGCGAGGTGGTACATGAAGATTGAGAGACACGCGGGAATACTGGAGGATCTGGGACATGATGGAGAACGACTTGGGATCATACGTGATCATGTTCGATGGTGGGCGAGGATGGGAGGAAGGCGATTAATCTTACGAGGTCGAGAGCGAGGACGACGAGCAGGGAAACATAAGCAATACCAGATTGCCTCCTCGTCCTCGTTATCCAGCTCTTCTTCCTCCGACGGGTCATCGTCATCCTTGTTTTCGTCCTTCCCCCTATCTCCTGATCCCTAATAACTAGTGCTCTCCATCTCCAAATTGTAAATACGATTGCTGATAATCCTGCTGTTTCCCTGGTCTTCCAAGGGGTGCGTCTCTTCCGTTTCCCGTTCGTCCTCCTCCTCCTCCTCCTCCTCCCTCCTCCACCTCCTCCATCTCATCCTCCTCCTCCTCCTCCTCCTCCTCCCCCTCCTCCTCCTCCTCCTCCTCCTCCTCCTCCTCTTCCTGCTCCTCCGCATCCTCCTCCTGTTCTTTCTCCAAATACCCCCCCCCCCCCCGTCGCACCCCGAGGCCGGTCGGAAGGGCGGGCCAGGCGTTTCGCCTGATACTCTTTTACTACTTTACGAACTGGAATCTCACAGTCGGCAGCGGTCGGTTTCATAGTTGGAGGGTGGACCGTTTCCAACATGCGGCTCTCGCCTCAGTGCCGCGCGGACTAGTCGCAAGTAGTTGCAAAAACTTCACGAATTTCGGGCGGGTGCGGGTGGTTTTCAGATGCGGCGCCGCGCACATTCGCTTTACAACATTGCACGAACTCCACGAATTGAGGACAGTTTTTTTCAATCTGTGGCTCGCTTTCACGGATGAAGGGCGGCTCCTTTTTTAAAAAATGTGGCACTCGCATCAGCGCCCCGCACAGTCTTTGAACATGCCTTCGCGGACTTCATTGGCTCCCACGGTTAACGTACCAGAAATTGTGTTTTGGAACAGTGCGATATTTTCACGGCGCAAGAAGATTTTGATTCGCGTTGTTGATTCGCGGTGTGGACGTCGCACGATTCAGGACCGTCAAGACGCGCAACACTATGGTTAATGTGTGGCGGCGTTGAAATCCCATGCGTGGTGCGTGGACAACGATCAGGATTTTCAAGCAGATGTGTCCCAACGGGGTCCTTCCCTCAGTGGAAATGAACCCCTCCACGGGCCTGGAAAGAGGGAGTTCGTCGGATGGAGCATTTATCGCAGCATCGTTGATCGTTGATGGGTCGTCATTGATTTACACTGGTCCTCCCGATCCTCCTCCCTCCCTTCCTCCCTCCCTCCCTTCCCCGGCGCCACGGCCCCCTTAGGCCCCCTCGGGGGGGGACCGGCACCCCCGTGGGGGACCCAGGGGGCAGGCCGGAAGGAAGCGGTCCGACTGTCAGGCATCAGCGGGTCGCCCTCCTCACGCGGAAGTAGGAGACCGCCCGCGCCTGGGCCTCCTGTCCCACGGAATTGCACTCGCTCGTCCTCTCCCAGCAAGCCCAGCAACCGCTCTCGCGAAGTGGAGGACCGTTCCTTGCTCGCTGGCCTTGCAGTTTGAGGCGTGGTTCCTGCAATGTACTGAGCCAGTCGAAGGGGTCGTTCCCGAGAGCCCCCTGCGCCCGCAGCGTTGCCTCAGCCTGCCGCAACGAACGGCACGGGAACGGGCAGCGGGCCTGGAAGTCCTCCCACGCGGCAAAACCAGCGCCGCGCGCCACGTCGTGCACGACGAGCGCCCAACTTGCGGCGTGGGCGGCGGGCGCCGTGCCGCGGCCGACGGGAGGGCGCAACCCCCATCGACCAGCCGCAGTGGCCTGCCACTTCTGCCCCTCGTCTAGCGGGGCCTGGAGGAGGTCCTGCAGGCAGCTGAAGATGGCGTCGTCAAAGGCGTCCGTCCAGTCCTGGTTGTAGGACGCGCGGAGGTGGTGCGTAACCGCGCCTTGGGCAAAAGTCTGGAGAAGAACCCAAGCTCCTTCAGCAGACATCCTGGCAATCCTGAGCTCGCGCAGGCGAGCTCGGAAGGCGGTGGCCTTTGCAACGGCGACCGCCCCGTCAGCGCCCGTATGGGCCCGAACGCGCTCCTCCTCTTGCTCCAGCCAGGTCGCAGTGTTCCCTGAGCAAGTGAGCGTGTCGACTCGGGTTTGCTGCGCTCCCGGGGGCAAGGCTGCCCTGGGGTCCTTCGTCCAAGCCTTGGTTTTGCTTTCGTTGACTTGGAGTCCAGCCTGGGTAAACGCCGCGACGACTATCTGCATGGCTGCGTCCGCGTGCTCTGGGGGGCAAAACACCATGATGCCGCCGAGGTAAGAAAACACGCGGCATTCAGGGAAAAGTTGTTGGAGATGTCCCGCAATAACACCCAGCGTATCTGCCAAGGTAATGGCGAGAAGGCCTGGTGACAGTGGACAACCCTGATCCACTCCGCGCGTAGCCCGAATCGGAGCAGCGTCGTCGGCGTCGTCCCACACGAGATGCGTGGTGGCTGAACCCAGCCAGGCCTGCCCGCACCCGCCCCTGCCCCCTCCCCTCCCCCTCCCCCTCCCCCTCTCCGCCCGCCCCCGCCCCCGCCCCCGCCCCCGCCCCTCCTCCTCCTCCTCCTCCTCCTCTCCTCCTCCGCCTCCTCCTCCTCCTCCTCCTCCTCCTCCTCCTCCTCCTCCTCCTCCTCCCCCTCCTCCTCCTCGTCCTCCTCCTCCTCCTCCTCCTCCCCCCCCTCCTCCTCCCTCCTCTTCCTCCTCCTCCTCCTCCTCCTCCTCCTCCTCCTCCTCCTCCTCCGTCTCCTCCTCCTCCTCTTCCTCCTCCTCCTCCACCTCCTCCTCCTCCTCCGCGCCTCCCCTCGCTCCGCCTCCGCCTCCGCCTCCCTCCTCCCTCCGCCCCTGCCTCCCTCCTCCTCTTCCTCCTCCTCCTACCCTCCTCCTCCCTCCTCCTCCTCTTCCTCTTCCTCCTCTCCTCCTCCTCCGCCCCCGCCCCCGCCTTCCTCCTCACGCCCCGCCTCCTCCTCCTCCTCCTCCTCCTCCTCCTCCTCCTCCTCCGCCTCCTCCTCCGCTCCGCCTCCGACTCCGCCTCCGCCTCTCCTCCTCCTCCACTCCTCCTCCTCCGCCTCCGTCCTCTTCCTCCTCCTCCTCCTCTCCACATCCCTACCGCCTCCTCGCCTCCGCCTCCGCCTCCGCCTCCGCCTCTCCTGCTCCGCTCCTCTCCTCCTCCTCCTCCCTCCTCCTCCTTCCAATTCCTGTTCGTGCGTCTGCTCCTGTTCCTCTTCCTCCTCCGCCGCCTCCTCCTCCGCCTCGCCTCAACCATCCGCCTCCTCGTCCTCCTCCTCCTCCTCCTCCTCCTCCTCCTTCTCCTGCCTCCATCCTCCTCCTCCTCCTCCCCTCCTCCTCATCCTCCTCCTCATACTCCTACTCCCCTTCCTCTTCTCCTCTTCTCTCCTCCTCCTCCCTTCCTCTTCCTCTTCCTCCTCCTCGCTCCTCCGCACTCCTCCTCCTCCTCTTCCCTCCCCCTCCCCCTCCACAATCCACCTCCTCCTCCTCCTCCTCTCCTCCTCCGCGTCCGCTTCGCGCTTCCGCGTCCGCTTCCGCTCGCCTCCTCCTCCTCCCCCCTCCTCCTCCTCCTCCTCTTCCTCCTCCTCCTCATCCTTCTCCTCCTGCCACTTCTGGTCCTCCTCCTCATATTCCTCCTCCTCCGTCTCAGATTAGTCGTATTCTTAATATTAGTCTTATTATTATTAGTCTTGTTAGCCTTAATCATATTAGTATTAATATGAGTCGTCTTAATTCTTAGTATAGCCGTAGTATTATTATTCTTAATATTAGTCAAATTATCAGCGTTACTAATAGTAGTCTCAATGTTCTTATGATTGTTATTTCCTCATCCTTCTCATCCTCCTCCTCCTCCTGTTCCTCCGCCTCCTCCTCCTCCCCCTCCGTCTCCTCCTCCTCTTCCTCTTCCTTCTCCTCTCCGCCTCCTCCTCCTCCTCCTCCTCCTCCTCCTCCTCCTCCTCTCCCCCCTCCTCCCCTCCTCTTCCTCCTTTCTCCTCCTCCTCCTCCTCCCTATCCTCCGCCCCTACCCATCCCTCCCTAATCCCTCCTCCTCCCTCCTCCCTCCTCCCTCCTCCCTCCTCACCCTCTCCCTCCTCCTCCTCCCTCCTCCCTCCTCCCTCCCCTCCGCCAGTCGCGGGGATGGCGCCCCCACTGGCTCTCTGGGGGCCGCCCAGAGGGGGACCGTCCACGGTCCAGTGCGCCCTGGGCCAGCCTCGTCTTGAGGCAGGCCCTGGGGCGCGACGCGGGCCGAAGGCTGCCCGCGCCCTCTGTGGGGGAGCAGTGAGCAGGAGGAGGGGGGCAGCAGGGGCGGCCCGGAGGGGAAGGGGGAGGGGCCGGGGCGGGGGGGCCGTCGCGAGTGGGCGGGCGGGCAAATAGCCAGGGTGGCCAAGCTGGTAGTGGGCCGAGCTCGCTCCCTCCTCCCTCCTCCTCCTCCCTCCTCTCATCCTACCTCCTCCTCCTCGATCCCTCCTCCCTCCTCTCCCCCTCCTCCTCCTCCTCCCCCTCCTCCGCCTCCGCCGTCCGCACTCCGCCTCCGCCTCCGCCTCCGCCTCCCCTCCGCCTCCCTGCCTCCGCCTCCGCCTCCGCCTCCGCCTCCGCCTCCGCCTCCGCCTCCGCCGCCTCCTCCGCCGCCTCCGCTCCTCCTCCTCCCTCCTCCTCCTTCCTGTCTCGTGCTCCTGCTCCTCCTCCTCTTCCTCCTCTCCTCCTCCTCCTCCTCCTCCTCTCCTCGCTCCCCCTCCTCCCCCTCCTCCCTCCCTCCTCCTCCTCCTACTCCTCCTTCCTCCTTCCTCCTCCTCCTCCTCTCCTCC